AGCTCCACCGAAGGCCCCAGTGGCAGCCTCCCTCATGGCTCTTCAGAGCCCTCTCCTGCTTCTGCTCCTCGGTCAGGGGGGCGCCGTCCTCGTCGTCGTCGGCGCCCGCGAAGACGGCCACGAACGTGTCCCTGAGCATGTCGGGCTCCGGCGGGAAGTTGTGGCCACATCGGGAGCGCGGGCGAAGATGTTACTCCCATTGCGGTAGTCCCAACTGCGTATGGTTGGGTCTTTCGCCAGGCTAAGTTTAGCACGTCGACCTCCCGAGGGCTGGGCCCTCTCTCCGGAACCGGTGTCTCATCCTATGTGTTCTTGTGTTGACGGTCCCGGGGCCCTGGTCAGGGCCCCCGGAGGCCAAGAATAGCCAAACATCCCCCGTCGTCCCAGAGATCCGACGCTCCAAAAAAATTAGAGCGGCGGGATTTTGGCAGTTTTGGGCCTCTGGGGGCCTTTGCCGGAGCGTAGCAAAAACGACTCGGGACGAAGCGCGGGCCCCTGGGAAGTGGTGCGAACCTCCTGGGGCCCACGCACCGACAGAATTGGAGCAGCTGGATGTCTGGGGCGCTTCTTTCACAGCGCGAGGGGGTCTGCCCAGACTTGCGGCGTCCTGATTCTTGCGGGACGGCGCCCCTGGAAGTCCCAGCCCTTTCCCCTAACCCGGTTTCTCGTCCTGCGTCGTTTCTGGACCGCCCCGCTCGGCGAGGGCCCCCCGTAAAACGACGCGAAGATCGGGACAAAATCGGATCGGGATAATTCGAAATCTCTGAGAATCGGCGGGTTTGGAGGATGTATTGGGCGCCGCGGCCGCTCCAGAGCGTTCCGGAACGCTCTGAGAGCGCTCCGGAACGCTCTGGAGCGATTTATCCAGATCCTAGCCCTGTTTTAGGCCCCCCGGGGCCGAAACTAGCCCCAAACCTCCCGTCCCGATGTTTTCGGGGGGGCGCGAGCACGTCTGGGTTTTTGTTGCGGTGCAGCAGGGCCTCTCGGAGGCCCGGGGCAGCGCCTCGGCGGGTCGCCTCGGCGGCCGCGCTCTGGGGCAACTCGGGCGTGTCCCTCTACAGGGGGAAGATTCAGAAATAGGCCAAAGATTGTCTGGGGACGATTGTTGGGATATTTCCCAACCATCCTGTGGTGCTGGGTCCTCGTTTTGAAGAGACGGTGGCCCGCGTTTCCTCTTCTCCTCCTCCCCTCCCCCTCCTCCCCCCTCCTCCCTGCGTTTCACCCACCCAGTACAGCGTTTCGTGGCCCCATAGGGAGCTCCACCGAAGGCTCCAGTGGCTGCGTTCGCATGGAGGCCCTGCCCCATTTCGGCACACCCCTCACGAGGATCGTGGCCCCATAGGGAGCTCCACCGAAGGCCCCAGTGGCAGCGTTCGCATGGCGGCCCCGCCCCATTTCGGCCCACCCTTTCACGAGGATCGTGGCCCCATAGGGAGCTCCACCGAAGGCCCCAGTGGCAGCGATCGCATGGCGGCCCCGCCCCATTTCGGCACACCCCTCACCAGGATCGTGGCTCCATAGGGAGCTCCACCGAAGGCCCCAGTGGCAGCGTTCGCATGGCGGCCCCGCCCCATTTTGGCGCACCCCTCGCGAGGATCGTGGCCCCATAGGGAGCTCCACCGAAGGCCCCAGTGGCAGCGATCGCATGGCGGCCCCGCCCCATTTTGGCGCACCCCTCACGAGGATCGTGGCCCCGCAGGGAGCTCCACCGAAGGCCCCAGTGGCAGCGTTCGCGTGGCGGCCCCGCCCCATTTCGGCGCACCCTTCACGAGGATCGTGGCACCATAGGGAACTCCACTGAAGGCCCCAGTGGCAGCGTTCGCATGGCGGCCCCGCCCCATTGTGGCGCACCCCTCACGAGGATCGTGGCCTCCACCGAAGGCGCCAATGGCAGGGTTCGTATGGCGGCCTCGGGCCATTTCGGCACACCCCTCACGAAGATCGTGGCCCCATACGGAGCTCCACCGAAGGCGCCAGTGGCAGGGTTCGCATGGCGGCTCGGGCGATTTCGGCACACCCCTCACGAGCATCGTGGCCCCATAGGAGCTCCACCGAAGGCTCCAGTGGCTGCCTTCGCATGGCGGCCTCGGGCCATTTCGGCACACCCCTCACGAGGATCGTGGCCCCATAGGAGCTCCACCGAAGGCCCCAGTGGCAGCCTCCCTCATGGCTCTCAGAGCCCTCTCCTGCTTCTGCTCCTCGGTCAGGGGGGCGCCGTCCTCGTCGTCGTCGGCGCCCGCGAAGACGGCCACGAACGTGTCCCTGAGCATGTCGGGCTCCGGCGGGAAGTGGTGGCCACATCGGGAGCGCGGGCGAAGATGTTATTCACAATTGCGGTAGTCCCAACTGCGTATGGTTGGGTCTTTCGCCAGGCTAAGTTTAGATGTTTTTCTTGTGACTATTCTGAATTGTTCCAAAATCCGCTTTTTGAGTAGGGGGACGTGCCCGGCCAAACGCTAACCCCTACCCAGACATGTTCGCGTCGCGAAAAAATCTGGACGGGAGGTGTTTGGCTATGTTCGGCCCAGGGGGGCCCTCACCGAGCCTCAGAACCGTCAAAAAACAATTCAAGACGAAAAACCAGTCCCGGGGAAAGGGTCGGGAATTCCAAGGACGCCGTCTTGAACAACATCAGGACGCCGCATGTCTGTTTTTTTTGTGTTGGCCCCCCCCTTTCCATTCGGCTGTAACTATAGGACTAGTCCTGAATCCTCCTCCTCCTCCTCCTCCTCCTCTCCCCTCTCCCCCTTGTCCTTTTCCTCCTCCTCCTTGACGATCGTCGTCGTTGTTGCGCGGCGGGTGCCGCGGAAAATGCGAAGCTAGGCTTTCCAGATGGGATCCGGGCAGATGCGTTTGGAGGATCGCGCCGCATCGCCGACGCATCGGCGATGCGTCCCGATGTGGATTCGGTTTTTCTCCGCGCCGACGTCGCAGATTCATCGCCGACGCCGCCGATGCATCGGCATCTTTCCGGACCCCATCTAACAGGCCTCTAGCTAGTTAAGAGTTTCCCTCCATACCTATAAACCGATCTGGACTGCGTCGATCCGCGACAGGAAGTTCTAGGCCGAGTTCCTGAGGTTTTTCGCCGCGTCTGGCTTCCCGAGCCCTCCACGTGCCCTGTGACTGCTCCAGACCCCCTCGCGCTGTGAAAAAAGACCGATGGGAGGTTCTTGGCAGTTTGGGCATTAGCCAGGACCCCGGGCCGTCAAAAAACGATTCGGGATGAAAAACTTGCTCTTGGGAAAGGGTCGGGACTTCCGGGAACCGCGCATTGAAAACATTCATGCCTGGGGAGGTTTTTCGTTGTTCCTGGCTTCCCCTTCCACGGGCCCCAAAACTGTTCGGAAACGGTTCAGGATGCAGACTTGGTCCTGCGGGAAGAGAAGGCCCCAGGGTCCAGGACTTGTTTCCATGAGGTCTCCTCTCCCCTACTCGGCGGGCGGCTCCCCCCACCTCGCCGGAGTGACCTTGGGTGCGGGCCCATTGGGGTCCCCCGATCGCCCAACGCGATGCGATAGCGTATTGCGCGCATGTGCTTGGTGCGGCCCCCAAAAAACTGCGCACCCAAGGTCACTCTCATCGGCGGCGAGCGAGGGGGGAAGTCACCACCCACCAAACCACCCCAACCCAACCCGAAGGCTCAGATTTACCCTCGATTTCTAGTGGGGGGGGGGGTCCGGGAACATCGAAAAAACACATATGGAGCCCATACCCCCTCAACCCGAAATTCGGGTCTTCGGGTTGGGTTGGGGTGGTCTGGTAGGTAGTCAGGAAGTGAGAGGGAGAACGCCCTCTCAGAAGGCGGTGGGGCTTCTCAGAAGCCCTCGGGCCCCCTGGAAGTCAGGAGGCCTGGGGGGACTCCCGCGCCCTCCGAGACGGCCCGCGCCCTTCTCGCAGTACCGCCTGGGTTCGCCGCCAGACGTGCCCCAGGCGTGCCGCCGGCCTTCCCAGACATGCGACGTCCTGAGCTAGTTCAGGAGGAAAAGGAGAAGAGGGAGAGGAGGAGAAGGGGGAGAGGAGGAGGAGGAGGAGGAGGAGGAGGAGGAGGAGGAGGAGGAGGAGGAGGAGGAAACGGAGAAGGGGGAGAGGAGGAGGAGGAGGAGGAGGAGGAGGAGGAGGAGTCAGGACTAGTCCTATAGTTACCGCCGAATGGAAAGGGGGGGGGCCAACACAAAAGACCCAGACATGCGGCGTCCTGATGTTGTTCAAGACGGCGTCCCTGTAAGTCCCGACCCTTTCCCCGGGACCGGTTTCTCGTCCTGAGTCGTTTTTGGTTCGAGCCCCCTTCACATTCAATTTGTTTTCTTGATTTGGGCCTTGTTCCCAGAGGGGTTCCCAGACAAGCGACGTCCTGAGTTTGTTCAGGACGGCGTCCCTGGAAGTCCCGACCCTTTCCCCGGGACCGGTTTCTCGTCCCGAGTCGTTTTTTTGACGCTTCCGAGGCCTGGCGAGGGCCCCCCCGGGGTCGAGAATAGCCTAAAGACCTCCCGTCCTGATGGTTTGTTGTTCGACGCGATCACGTCAGGGGTTGAGCCGCTGTCGGAGGCCTAGAGGTCGACACCAACACCAAGATTGGCGGTGTGCCTTCACCGAGGGAAGATGTTCCCGATCTCGGCGATGGTGGTCAGATTCGGGCTCTCTAAGTTGCCTAACGAGTACCACCCACACTAAAATCCAGGATCATCTTACCCCTGTGGAGGCAACCTCCTGTGTTGGTGTTGGTGCCCAGTTCCAGGCCTCCAATACTTCAAGCAGTGGCGAAGCGTCCTGGCTCGCCCATAGCCCTACCAAACAATGTTCTAAGAACCTTTCGTGGTTTCCACGGAATGTTCTTAGAATATTTCTGGCTGGGACGCTCTTGTTTTAACACATCGGGTTTATGTTCTACGAACAGTGTTTTGTATGATTAGAACTTGTTTGGGTTTTAAGAACATTTCGTGGTATGACTATAGGAATGCCGGGACGGTCGGTTCCTGCTCAAAACACTGGCACCCGAGGTCGAGCAGCTGTACCGCAAGCGCAGCCCCTCCGACATGCAGGCCGCCGCGGGCGAGGCGCCCGCCGCCGGCGGGCTGCGCCAGGCGCCGCCTCGCCCCGCCGCTGCCGCTGCCGCGCGTGTGGCTCTCGCTATCCTGGGAGGACGCCCCCCCCGACCCCCGAAGGGGGCACTCCACACAAAAGAAGGAGAGGCGGGTTCGAGTGGGAGGGGTTCGAGGGCGCCGCCTCGCCTCGCCGCCGCCGCCGCGCCTGCAGCTCGCCACTCTGGAAAGGCGCGCCCCCCCACCCCCCAAGGAGTGGGTGTTCGATCGAAGAAGAGAACACGACATAAGCATAAACTTTTGGCGCTCCGCGCGCAGCGCCAAAAGTTTATGCTTATGCCGTTTTTTCTTCTTCTATTCAATCAAACAAAAAGAGAGAAGGGTTCGAGAAGGAATTCAGAGGCGGAGTAGGGAGGGATGACGGGGGGACGGAATGGTTGGTCGACGCCTTGGGGAGAGTGTTGTTCAGCAGGAGCGGCATCCGCAAAGCACGACCCAGCGTTTCCATCCCGCACTTGGTCGTAACAGTACTCTTCTTTCCTCGCCCTCTTTCTCGTCTCCTCTTATCTTTTTTCGTGGTCACCCTGCTCACGTTGCAATCCTTTTTGATGCAATTCTTCACTACGCAACGCCACACCATGCTATGACATACTACGCTCTGCCGTGCTCTTCTACTTCCTGCTAGGCCGTGCTCTACGATGCATCGCGCACCCTCTCGGGATCATTGCTCTGCTCGACATCCGACTGCGCGAATATAGAGAGAGGATATTTACGCCATGGTGATGGATGGGAGGGAGGGGTAGGACGTCAGATATGACGCGAGCGCACCCAGCTTGCCCCTCCCCCCTCCCTCGCCTTCCCCTGCGGTCCCGGAAGTTTTTGGCTCGAGCCCCCTTCACATTCAATTTGTTTTCTTGATTTGGGCCTTGTTCCCAGAGGGGTTCCCAGACAAGCGACGTCCAGATTTTTCAGGACGGCGTCCTTGGAAGTCCCGACCCTTTCCCTGGGACCAGTTTCTCGTCCTGAGTCGTTTTCCGAGGCCCAGCGAGGCCCCCCCGGGCCGAAAATCATCAAAAACCTCCCGTCTTGATCGCTTCACGACGCGATCATGTCTGGCCAGACTCATATCAGCGAGCGAAGAACGGTATAAGATAAACTTTTTCGCTGTCGGGGGCGCCTGTCCCTGGGCGGCTAGAAAGTTTATACCCCTACGGTGCAACCGTAAGGGTATAAACTTTCCAGCCGCCCAGGGACAGGCGCCCCCGACAGCGAAACTGTTTATGCTATACCGTTCTTCGCCCGTTGATCACAGGGCTGGGGCCACCTCGGTAAGCATCATCCACAGCGGCCTGCGGCGGAGCGAGGGAGGAGAAGGGGCGAGAAGGAGGGGGAAGGGGAGGAGGAGGAGGAGGAGGAGGAGGAGGAGGAGGAGGAGGAGGAGGAGGAGGAGGAGGTCAATAACTACATCAAGGAGGTAGGAGGATGGAGGGGAGAGGAGAGGAGAGCGAGAGAGGAGGATAGATAGGAAGGAGGACGAGGAGGAAGGAGGAGGAGGAGGAAGGAGAGCCTGAAAGGGCTTGGTGCCGAGGTCGCTCCCAGCTGCTCGAGGCCTGGGGAGGACTGCCGCCGTGTCCCTCCACAGGAGGAGTATCCCAAAACAGGCAAAACAAAATAACGTGGGGACGATTTTTGGAGAATGTTTGACCATCTTTGGTTTTTGTTGAGCATGTTGCCTGTAGGGGGACATGCCCGACCTAAGGCTCGGGATGAAGATCCGGTCCCAGGGAAGGGGGCGGGCGTGAAAAAAAACGACGTCGGGGGTCGGTGGGAATCCTGCGGCCCATCGGGTTTGGGGAGTCGACACTGGAGGTGTTGATGGGCTCCAGTCGGTCGGGGCGAGGACGAGGACAACTCCGTTCCACAGCGTTCCGGAACGCTCCCAGCTACAGCGATCCGTCACGCTCTGAAAAGGCCGCGGAGCCCGAGACATCCTCCAGAGCCGCCGGATCTCAGAGATTCCCGATTTATCCTCACCAGAATTGTCCTCGTCCTGGCTTCGTCTTGTCCAGGGGTCCACCAATTGGTGGGATATGGGTGGGTGCCGTCCACTTCAGCGAATTTGGGTATCGGTGGGTTTGTTCTGGGTTTGGACATCGGTGTCTTTGTCTCACTGGACTGGGTGGGCGGGTGCCCAGACATGCGACGTCTTGATTTTGTTCATTCAGGACGGCGTCCCTGAAAATCCCAACCCCGGTTTCTCGTCCCGAGTCGTTTCTTGACGGCCCCGAGGACTGGCGAGGGCCCCCCGGGGCCGAACGTTGCAACAAAAACCTCCCGCCCCGATCTTCACACCAGCCTTGCCGGAGGCCAGCTTGTTTGGCGCTCATGCCGCCTTTGTAGGGTCGCCCAGCGGCGACGGAATACTCGTTCGTTCGTTTGTTCAAAATATCGGGCGTTTTGTGGGGGCGGGGGCGGTGGTAGGGAGTGGGCTGGTCACGTCACGATTCGCGCCGGCGCTGTCCGGGAATGCCTCAAAGAATTGCCGTGATTTCCACCGCGCCTGGCGCGAAGTGCGACGGTGACCATGGAGGGGTGGCGGGAGCGGGGGAAGGAGGTGAAGCTGGTCACTGCGTTGTCGCGAATAATACAAACAAATGCACCTCGGAGCTCCTACCAGACGGCGCTAGCGCGAAACGTGACGGCGACCTTGGGGGGGAGGGCGGGAGGAGGGGGGGAGGGCGGGGCCAGCCACTGGCGTTATCGCAATCATATGCATATATATATATATATATATATATATATACCTGCGAGCCCCAGAAGCCCTGGGAGGACCCTGTCAGCGGCGTCGGCGCGTCGTCGTCGTCGCTGCCGCCCGTGCCGTCGTCGTCGCCGCCGCCGCCGTTGTCGTCGCCGCCGACGGCGTCGTTGCCTCCAACGGTACTCCTTCGATTGCGGAGGCCTTGCGGCTGGTGCCGCAGACCCTGTATGCAGGACCTCCTCCGGGACCCCCGCTGGCGACCCCCCCCCCCGGATCCCCTGGGATGTAGGTTCATCGTCTTCGGATGTGCTCTGCTACCAAGTTTTGATCAGCGGGTGCAGCTGGTGGTGGGATACGGGATGTCTGCCGGCTGGGGCACAGAGCACCCCGACTTCCGAGCCCTGGCCGGTGTTCCAGAGATCCGACTTGCAGGGGTAAGGTCCCCTTGTGGTTGCCCAGATGGTTTTCCTTGATCTCGGCCTCTGTGGGCCCGTTTCGGGCTCCGCTGTCGCCGTCGCCGTCGCCGTTCCCTGTCACCGCCGCCGCCGCCGTCGCCGCTGTCGTCGCCGTTGTCGTCGTCGTCACCCTCTTCCTCGTCCTCGTCAGCGTTGCCAGCGTCGTCGTCATCGTCGTCGTCGATACCGCCGCCTTAGTCAAAGTCGTCGTCGTCGCTTCCCAGCTGTTTGGCAGGTTCTTGAGGTTATCGCCGCCACGGCTGGGGATGTAGCTTGAAAAGCTGGTTAAGATCGACCCTGGAAGGGTTCTGTGAATTTGTAAGCTTGATGTTTTTCGGTCGGCGTCGTCGTTGTCGCCGCTGTCTTCTTCGATCGCCGTCATCGTCGTTATCGTGGTCGCTATATGCGAGTTTTGTATTTCGTCATGTTGCCTTAAGTAGCTGCCGCAGTTCAAGCCGTCTCAGATTGCAAGCTACTGATCCACTTGTGTTGTTTGGGTCGGGCTGGCATGCAATGGCCGCACAAGCAGATTTCAATGTTCTAGAGTTCTTCAAAGAAGAGATAAACAATGAGAGTGCCGTGATCAAGATCGGTGCCGCCAACCAGTTGCACTTAGTCGCTTCTGCTCTTGGGCCCCAGAAGACGATCAACGAACTGATGCCCTACATGACGCAGGTGGTTAAAGAGGAGCCTCTGTGCAACGACGAGGAATTTCTTTACACCATGGCCAAGCAGTATGCGGTGCTATCCGACTACATCACTGGCCATGAGGAGCTCCTCATCGCACCTCTCGAGCACCTCGCAGCACAGGAGGAGACGGTCATCAGGCAGGAGGCCATTGAGTCGCTGTGCCAGATCATCTCGAAGAAGAGAAAGTGGCGTAGGCATAACCTTTTGGAGCTCAGCGCGGATTCCTCGAATCGACGCGGAACCCCCCTCCCTGGCGCGCCAGGGGCGGCGCCGGAGGCGCCACCAGTGGGGCGCAGCGCTGATCCCATAAATTCCCAGACCCCCGACGTCGTGATTTTTTCACGACGTCGACCCCCAGAAGTCTGGACCCTTTCCCCTGGACCGGTTTCTCATCCCGAGTCGTTTTTTGACGGTCCCGAGGCCTGGGGAGGGCTCCCGGAGGCCGAAAATAGCGAAAAACCTCCCGTCGTGATTTTTTCACGACGCGAGGGGGTCTGGGTTTGCGAGGATTTCCGAAAGTTCCGAAAGCTTATGCCCCGTGCCGTTTGAGCTTCCTCGACCCTCGCGAAGCGCCCGCAGCTCGTGCCGGAGACCGGCGGCGGGCCAAAATTGGGGGGGGGGGGGGAGTGCAGATGGCCGGGAGCCTCCTCGGGAGGCCTCGGGAGGCCTCGCGAGGCCTGCGAAGCGCCCGATGCTCGGGGGCGGATATCAGGGCGTGAATTACCTACCCCGCTTTCGCTTCCAGGCAAAACCAAGTCATACCACGCGCCTCCTCGTCAAGCGGCCTGACCAGTATAGGCCGTAGTTTGGCATCGCTTGGTATCTCTTGGAAGCGAGGGTGGTCAAAAGCGAGGTAGGTTTGTTTGCCCCTTAGGATAGACCTCCTACCCCGACGCGTCGATCAAGGAATGGGCCGTTTTCGGTTCGCGAGGGGGCGTCGCGACCGGCATCTTTGCGGGTCCAGGTCCGTCGGTTTCGGTCCCAGGCCGTTTTCACTACTAAGGGGAGGTTTGCTACAGGGAGGTTTGTCCACCGCCGATATGCCATTCTCTGAGGACGTGGGCGGCTTCTCACAAGGCGGGATTGCTTCTGAGAAGCCCCGTCGCCTTCTGAACGGGCCTGGCCCATCTCGCTTCCCCCCTGGGCTCGCCGCCAAGGATCGGGCATTGACAGAACGCCCCCCAGACAGCTCGATTTGGGACCATCTGCACGGGTGCACTCGACATTGGCAGTCGAGTGTACAGTCGGGGCCCTGAAGAAGGAACCCTTTTGGTTGGGAAGGGGCTCCGCTTTCCTCAAGTGTTTCACAGCTTGCCTCAGGTTTTCCTTATGTTTTCGACAGGAGATCGAAGGTTAACTTATGGATTGGAAAGGCCTCGTTCCTTATGTGGGGTTCCTTAGGTCAACGCCCCGACTGTATTGGTGCCGTCGTCAGTCGGGTTCGCCACTCGACGTGCGTCTCGCCGGAAACACCCGGTTGCTTTTTTGGACAGCGATTCGCGACCCCGCCGGAGGGCACTCGGAATGCAGTGCCGTGCGCACGTGGAGTGCCCCTGGCAGCTTGTTCACGACAGGCGCTCCGCCGAAGGGTGCCCTTGTCGCAGGGGAACGAAGGATGGCATAAACATAAGAACCCGGAGGTCCGAGTTTTTTTATGGTTATGTCGTTCTCTTCGCCCCCCCCCCCATGTCCACCCCTGAGAGGATCAGGAGGGAAGAAAACACAGACACAATTGACCGTCGATTCCCCAGGAAATATGTGAAAAGACGGGAAGTGGGGGGGAAGACAAAAACCCAGAAAATATACAACATATGGGGAATCTTTTTATTTGTGTGTAGTTATTTGTGTGTCCTGGGCCCCTTCAGAGGAGCACCTGGTGCCCGCAGTGCACCGGCTGGCCACGAAGATCGAGTTCTTCACGGCGCGCGTGTCGGCCTGCGCGCTCTTGCCGACCGCCTGCAGGCACGCCAACGAGGACCAGAGGTCCAGCGAGAAAGGCTTTTTGTCAGGTTTTTATGTTGTATTCCTTTCCCCATCGTGGGGCTTTTTGTTTCTCCCCCCGAGGGGGTGGTGGCCCCAGACATGATCGCGTCGTAAGAAAATCACGGCGGGAGGTTTTTGGCCACCCTTCGGCCCCGAGGGGCCCTCGCCGAGCCCCGGGACCGTCAAGAAACGGCTCAGGACGAAAAGCCCGTCCCGGGGAAAGGGACCTTCCGGGCCTAACTCAACCCACACCCAACCACACACACACACACACACACACACGCCGACCCCCCGAGGAGGGCCCAGACATGCGACGTCTTGTTTTTTTCAGGACGGCGTCCCTGGAAGTCCCGACCCTTTCCCCGGGATAGGCCCTTCGTCCTGCGTCGTCCATAGACGACTCAGGACAGCCATAAGAGCTCTGGACAGTCCCGAGGCCCGGCGAGGGCCCCTCTGGGGCCGAAGATAGCCCGAACGAAGGATTGCAACGAAGGGTTTTTTTGCAATCCTTCGTAGCAAGAGCGTAGGTTTTTTTGCAATCCTTCGAAGGGTTTTTTTGCAATCCTTCGGTTTTTTTTGCAATCCCCCGTCCTGATTTTTTTTGTTGCACGGCGCGATCGTGTCCGGGGGCATGACCTGACCAGCCTCGGGGGGGGCAGCCCTCGAGCAGCCGAGCCCTGAGAGGTCCGGCCTCCGGGAGGCCTACGGCAGCCTCTGCGTGGACGACACGCCGATGGTGCGGCGCGCCGCGGCCCACAGGATTCAGGGGGGGGAAGAATCGGGTCGGGCGAAAGGGGGGGATTGGGAAAGGGGGGGTTACGAAATTTGCTGCATGCAGCTGGTTTCGGCCTCACCGAGGAGCCCATTCCTCGATACATGGGCGCCTCCGGCGGCGGGGGCGCCAGGAAAATCAGCTACGTGAGCTGATTCTCAAACCCCGCCTTTGCTATCCCCCCCTTTCGCCCGACCCGAAAGAAACACACAGACACACTTCATCGTCGATTCCCAGGAAAAGATGGGACAATTGGACAAGGGGGGGAAGGCGGAAATCCAGTAAAAAATATGGAAAATATGGGGGATCCTGGGAGTTGTGTGCATTCATTTGTGTGTCCCAGGGCCCCTTGAAGGATGCACGACCTCATGTCCGTCTGCGAGAAGCAGGCCATCCTCGGCGACATGATCCGAATCTACAAGCAGCTCTCCCAAGAGGACACCCAGGACATCGGACGGGGCCCCAGACGTGATCGCGTCGTAAATAAATCAGGACGGGAGGTTTTTGGCTGTTTTCGGCCCTGGGGGGCCCTCGCCGGGCGTCGGGACCGTCAAAAAACGATTCAGGACGAAAAACCGGTCCTGGGGAAAGGGTCGGGACTTCCAGGGACGCCGTCCTGAAAAAATCAGGACGTCGCATTTCTGGGGACATCTCTAGCAAAAACCCGCTCCAGAGAGTTCCGGACCGCTCCTACAGAGTTCCAGAACGCCCTGAGAAGGCCGCAGCGCCCGAGACAGCCTCCAGAGCCGCCGGATCTCAGAGTTCCTCGACTTCTTCTCACCCGACTTTATCTCTGTCCGGGCTTCGTCTGAAGGACACGATCCGCGTCTCGTGCGTCCACGCCACTCTGGTGATCGCCCAGAAGTGCAGCCCAGAAGAGAACATGCAGCACACGATCCCTGTCATCGAGGACGCGGCCGAGGACCGCTCGTGGCGCGTGCGCCTGACGGTCGCGAAGAATTTCGACCAGCTCATGTTGGAGGCCTGGAAGTGCGCACCAACACCAACACCGGGGGGGGGCCTCCGTAGGGGTGCGGTGATCCTAGATTTTGGTGTTGGTGGTAACAGTTCGGCCACGCAGGAAGCCCGACTCTTACCACCGTCGCCGAGATCGGGAGCATCTTCCCTCGGTGAAGGCACACCGCCGATCTTGGTGGTGGCGTCAACCTCCAGGCCTCCGATGATATCGGCCCTTGGGCCCGAGATCACGGCCACCCATCTCATGGCTCCGCTCCTCCAGCTCTTGAAGGACAGCGAGCAGGAGCCGGAGTAGGAAAGGGTACCCATACGGTTACCCTTCGCCCGTTTTTCCCCTTTTGGGAATCCTGGGAGGCACTCGTCGCCACCGCTGGATTCGCCTCTAAATCCTGATCGGAACGAACCCCGGGAGATGTCTGGGGAGTAGCGGTCTCGGTACCTTTTGGTTTCCCCAAGGAGGTGCGCATGGAAGCCGTGCGCGTGGTGGAGCAGTGCCTGCTACTGCCGCGCCCTCTCACCAGTGACCAGCTGCAGCAGCACATCTTGCCTCAGTTCCAGACTCTAGGCATCGACTCCGCGCAGCCCGTGCGCGCGGCGCTTGCGCAGGTGCTCGGACCAGTCGCCAAGGCGCTCGGGCGCGACGTCACCCAGCGACAGCTCCTCAGCCTCATCTCTGGCCTCATGAAGGACGAGTTCCACGAAGTACGCCTCAACATCACCTCGCACGCCGCTCTGCTCTGCGAGGTTCTGAGCGTGGACGGGACTCCACCGTCACTCCTCGACACGATCCAGAACCTCATGGTGGACAACCACTGGCGCATCCGCCAGAGAGTCGTGGAGCAGGTCCCAGTGCTTACGAAGCTATTCGGCGTCAAAGTGTTCCAGACGAAGCTCGAAACCTTGTACTTGTCAAGTCTTCGCGACTCTGTACACTCAGTGCGCGAGGCCGCAGTGCAGTACCTCAAGGGTATTGCTGACACACTCGGATCACAGTGGACTGTGGAACATTTGTTGCCCAAGCTGGTAGAGCAGTATTCTCAGAGCACAGGCTATGCGAATCGTATCACAACGCTCCACGTGCTACCGCAGGTGTCTGGCGTAATGACTCCGGAGCAGATCATGCAGTTCATTGTCCCGGTTTTGGTCAAAGCCACCAGGGACAGCGTCCCCAATGTCCGTTTCTGCGCATGCCGAAACATCATGTGGATGCTGGAGCACCACAATCTCGGAACAGTGGCCCTCAACACCGTGATCAAGCCTGCGCTTCTCGAGCTCCAGCACGATTCCGACATCGACGTGCAGTATTTTGCGCAGCGGGCCCTCGCTGCGGGCGGGCCTTAGGCAGCGGACTGCCTTTCGCATTTGCCGACTCAAATGCCGAGCTTGTATCGACGAGCGTACTGTAAACAAACCATCCGGTTGCTTTCCAACAACCTCGCTAAAGGGCTTCCGTGTATGAACATGCATGTCTCTGATGCCAGTTATTGGTGTCTGCTGTTGGTGTATGTTTTTCATGTCTGCTCTTGGTGCCTGAGCTTGATGTGTTGTTCTTGGCGTCTGCCCTTTTTCACTGATCTTGATGAATGGTCGTGATCTGCCACGCTTTCGGTGTAAATGATTCATGTCTGTTCTTGTCTGGTCTGGGCATCTGCTACTTATGTGTGCCAAGTGTTGGAGTATGTTATTGGCGTGTGTTATTGAAGTCTATTGTTGGTTATAGGTTCTGGTGTATGTCATTCGCTTCTGCTCTTGCTGTATGAACTTGATGTCTGAGTTCGTTTCATGTTTCTGGTGCATCTTGTCGGTGCTTGTCCTTGTTGCGTGTGCGCGATGCGTTGTGCATGTCTTTTTGCATGTCACCGGTGAGAGCTCTTGGTGTATGAGGGTGATGCCAGTTCTTGCCGTGCTCTGGATCTATGTGAGCGGTCCACGTTATTGATGCGTATTCTTGATGTGTATGTGTTGCGTCCGCGTCCATCAGTATGTTCTTGATCCACGTTTTTAGTGTATGGTCGTTCGGCGTGCGTCGCCGTGGCGCCATCTCGTTTTGGGGCGCTCGGGTTTCTTCTGGGGCCCGGCGGCTGCGTCCGCGCAGGGCGGGGAGGACGGGACAGCCAGGGTCCGCCCGGAGGCGCAGGGCGTGGCGGACGCGGTCACTCCTGTCGGGGGCGGCCAAGAGGAGGGTGATGACTAGGGGGGGGGTGGATCTCATGGCGGGGGCCATGAGATCTCCCCAGATTTCGTGGCGCCTCTTCTTGCTTCAAGACGTCCCCGGCCCCACCCGGGGCCTCGCACGTGCCCCCCCTCCTCGGCCGCCCCCGAGACTGCAGAGCGGGAGTTGGCGGGAGACACGCGGGCCACCCGCGCGAAGAGGGCCTGGCGGCCGCGGTGTGCAGGGCGGGCGTCCGACGGGAAACGCAGGGACCACCGGGACCAGTGGGGCCCGGCGGCCGCGTTGCGCAGGGTTGGCGAGCCCGGTCGGGGAACCTGTTTTAAATGGATCCAGCGCGACCCCAATGAGGGGAAAGCTTTCGGAGCATTACGTCGCTGAGCAAGGGAGGCATGTTTCTTGGCGGTGTTTGGCGTGGCTTGGCGTTTTTGTTGGCCGTGCTCGTCCTTGCTTGTCCTTGCTTGGCAGTGCTCGGCCTTGCCTGGCCTTGCTTGGCCATGCTTGGCATTGCTTGGCTTTGCTTGCCATCTGCCTGGCATCTGCCTGGCATTTGCTTGGCCTTGTTTGACATTGTTTCGTAGTGTTTGCCATTGCGTTGCCTCACTTGGATTTGCTTTGGTGTTGCTTGGCGTTGGTGTTTCGTGGTAGTGATTGGCAGTGCTTGGCATTGATTCCCTACCTAGGCTCTGCCTAGAAGGGTTCTTACTCGGTTTGCTCAAAGGGCCGGGCAGTGGACCTCGCCCTGGGCGGTTCCCCCAGGATCCGCCCCGCGGTTCCCCCATTGACGTTCCCTTAACTTAGCGTTGCTTATCTCATCTTAGCTTAGCTTATTTCATCTTAGCTTAGCTTAGCTTTATCTTAGCGCAGGTTTATCTTAGCTTAGCTTACCTTCATCTTAGCTTCGCCGAGCTTTACAATAGCAGAGCACAGCATAGCATAGCAGAGCGTAGCACAGCACAGGGCAGCAGAGCATATCATAGCAAAGCCCAGCATAGCACAGCATAACGCAGCGTAGCACAGCATAGCACAGCGCAGCACAGCACAGCACATCACAGCATAGCACAGCGCAGCATAGCATAGCATAGCAGAGCAGAGCAGAGCATTGCATACCATAGCATAGCGCAGCATAGCATAGCATAGCATAGCATAGCATAGCATAGCATAGCACAGCACAGCATAGCGCAGCATAGCATAGCGCAGCATGGCATAGCATAGCATGGCATAGCATAGTAGCTAATGCTGCTTGCCTAGGGGCTCCAACTTCTAGGTAGGGTCGCGCTGGGGTAATTTAATTTGCCTGGCGTAGCTTTCCATTTTCGGCATTGCTTTGCATTGGCAGGGAAGTGCTTGGCATTGCTTTGCGTTGCTTGGCACTTTGTTCGCATTGCTTGATATTGCTGGGTTTTGCTGAGCCGGGGAACGCGTCTTCAAACAATGCCAGGGAACAAGACCAAAAAGCCCAGGCAACCCAGTGAACTCGAGCAATGCAGGCTTTTCAAAAACAGCAAGGATGCTTCGCATTGTTGCATTGCTTTGCATTGCCTGGCATTGCGCGGTGTGGCTTGGGATTGTTCGGACTCGCTGAGTTGCATTATTTTGCGTTGCCTTGCCTTGCTTGGCCTTCCTTGGTATTGCTTGACATTGCCTGGTGTTGCTTGGCATTGCTTAGCATTGCCTGGCATGTGCTTCGCATTTGCTTGGCATTGTTTCGCATTGCCTCATGGGTGGCGCATTGCAGGAATATTGGAGACTGGGGGAATCAGCACGTTGTGTGGACTCTGGCGGTGAACAGCAACCGCGCGGTGCAGCCGCAACGGTTGCCCGATAGTCCGACACGCCCTGTTGTGTCTGCACCCCGCCGCGCGGGTGTGACGGCCACCGTTGACCAGAGAGCGACTCCAGCCAAGCAGTGCGGGCCCGAGGATTAGACGAGGCACGGCGACCACAGAGAGGATAACTCACAGAGCGTCTTTACGCAGCGAAGGAGGGATTCCAGCACAAGCGAGAGGACCACGAAGCAGCCAGCCGTAACGACGATAACCTCCACGAGCACCACGAAACGAAGTATACCTCCACGGGCACCAGCACGAAAAACACCTCCGCGAGCATCCTCCTGGAGGCGGCCTCCATGAACGCCAGCGTGACTGGCAATGCTTTGTTTTCATGGCATTGATCTGTCCTGTTATAAGTTGCTTGGCGTTGCTTTCCATTGCTTGGCGTAGCTCGGCATTGCTTAGCCTTGGCGATGCTTGGCACTTCTTCGCGTTGCGTTGTGTTGATGGGTATTGAGCGGCCTGGGCAATGCATCTTCAAATGCTGTCAGGAAACAAGAGGCCCAGGCAACCCAGGGAAGCCGAGCAAGGCAAGCCTTTCAATCAGCCTGGCGAAGGACCCAATCATATGCAGTCCTGAACACCGCAGTTGTAGGTATCGTCTTCGGTGGAGATTCGTTTATAGGGCCACGAAACGCTGTACCGGGCCGGGGGGACGCATGCGGACTGCGCCATTGGGGCCGCCGGTGGAACTTCCTATGGGGACACCGAGCGCTGTACTGGGTGCGGGAGACGCTTGCGGGCTGCGACGCTGGGAACTTCGAAGGAGCTCCCTACGGGGCCACCAGACGCTGTAGTGGGTGCGGGAGACGCTTGCGGGCTGCGACGCTGGGAACTTCGAAGGAGCTCCCTACGGAGCCACGAGACGTTGAAGTGGGTGGGGGAGACGCATGCGGGCTGCGCCCCTGGCACCGTCGGTGGAGCTCCTAAGGATCGCTCCTACGGGGCCACGAAACGCTGTAGTGGGTGGGGGAGGCGCATGCGAGCTGCGACCCTGGGAACGTCGGTGGAGGTCCCTATGGGGCCACGAAGCGCTTTATTGGGTGGGGGAGGCGCATGCGGGCGGACCTGTGGTGGAGCGGGGCCACGAAGCGTTGTACGGGGGGGTGGAGACGCATGGGGGCTGCGCCAGTGGGGCCATCGGTGGAGGTCCCCACGGGGCCACTGAACGTTGTAGTGGGTGGGGGAGACGCATGCGGGCTGCGCCCCTGGGACCATCGGTGGAGCTCCCTACGGGGCCACGACAAGCGGTATTGGGTGGGGGAGACGCATGCGGGGGGCGACATTGGGAAATTCGAAGGAGCTCCCCATGGGGCCACGAGACGCTGTACTGGGTGGGGGAGACGCATGCGGGCTGCGCCACTTGGAACGTCGGTGGAGGTCCCTAGGGGTCAACGAAGCGCTGTATTCGGTGGGGGAGGCGCATGCGGTCTGCGCCCCCAGTGGGACCTTCGGTGGAGTTCCCTATGGGGCCACGAAGCTTTGCATTGGGTGGCGGAGACGCATGCGGGCTGTGCCACCGGGACCTTTGCTGGAGCTCCCTATGGGGCCATGAAGCGTTGCATTAGATGGGGAAGACACATGCGGACTGCGCCATTGGGACCTTCAGTGAAGCTCCCCATGGGGCCACGAAATTTTGTACTGGGTTCGGGAGTCGCATACGGGCTGCGAAATTGGGACCTTCGGTGGAGCTCCCTTCAGGGCCACGCACCGCTGTACTGGGTTGGGGAGACGCATGCGGGTTGCGCAACTGGGACCTCTGGTGGAGCTCTCTCTGGGGCCACGAAACTTTTGTATTGGATGGGGAAGACGCATGCGGACTGCGCCATTGGGACCTTCGGCGAAGCTTATTATAGGGCCACGAAATGTTGTATTGGGTGGGGGAGACGCATGCGGCTGCGCAATTGGGACCTTCAGTGGAGCTCCCCATGGAGGAAAAGTGGAGGAACGCTGGGCGCTGTCTCTTGAAAGCGAGGTCCCAACATCACAGGGTGGTTGGGAACAGACAGTATGGCTGCTTGACATTGCTTTGCATCTGTGCGTTGCTTGGCGTTGCTAGGCTTTCCATGGGCTTGCTTGGCCTTGCTTGGTGTTACTTGACATTGCTCGGCGTTGTTTGCAATTGCGTGGCATTGCTCGGCATGTGTTTTGTATTTGCTTGGCACTGTCTCGCGTTTGCTTATGGATAGCGTATGGCAGGAATCTAGCGGTGAGCGGCAGCCTCGCGGTGCAGCCGCAACGGTTGCCCGATAGTCCGACACACCTTGTTGTGTTTGCATCCCGCCGCACGGGTGTGACAGCCACCGGTGACTGGAGAGCGACCCCAGCCAGGCATTCGGGCCCGAGGAGTGGGCGAGGCACGGCGTCTATTGATTTGGTGACCCGCAGAGCGTCATTACCCAGCGAAGGAGGGACTCCAGCAGCCAACCGTAACGACGACAACTTCCACGAGCGCCACGAACCGAAGTATACCTCCACTGGTAGGGGTACGAAACTATCCCGGCGATTGTGAATGTCTTTTTCGGTGGGGCTCCCTATGGGCCCACGTGACTGGGTAGGGGGAACGCATGCGGGCGATAGCACTGGGGCCGTCGGCGGAGCTCCGTATGGGGCCACGAAACGCTGTACTGGGTGGGGGGGGCGCATGCGGGCAGCCCACTGGGGCCTTCGGTGGAGCTCCCTATGGGGCCACGAAGCGCTGTGCTTGGTGGGGGGGACGCATGCGGGCACTTCCACTGGGGCCTCCGGTGGAGCTCCATATGGGGCCACGAAGCGCTGTATTGGGTGTGGGGGGCGCATGCGGGCACCCTCAGTGGGGCCTTCGGTGGAGCTGCGTACGGGGCCACGAAAAGGTGTACTGGGTGGGGGGGACGCATGTGGGCACCTCCACTGAGGCCTTCGGTGGAACTCCCCATGGGGCCACGAAGCGTAAGAGGGGTGTGCCAAAGTGAGGGGGGTGACGGGAGGAGGGAGGAGGAGGAGGGGGATGAGGAGGAGGAGTAGGAGGAGGAGAGAGGAACGCGGGAACCGTCTCTTCATAACGCGGGAACCGTCTTTTTTTCCCAACACCGTTGGGAAAAAAAACTCCGCGAGCATCCTCTTGGAGGTGGCCTCCACGAAAGCCAGCGTGTATGGCATTGCTTTGTATTGTGTGGCGTGGCTGTGCCTCACTCGAATTTTCTCGGCATTGCTTTCCATTGCCTGGTGTAGCTTGGCATTGCTTGGCATTGGGTGGGCATTTCTTGTCATGTGTTGGCACTTCTTCGCGTTGCTGCGTATTGCTTGGCGTTGTTTGGCCCTGTGGGCGCGTCTTCAAAAGCTGTCAGGATACAAGACCAAGGAGCCCAGGGAACCAGGGAACCTGAGCAAGCCAGGTCTTTCATTAACTACGAGGGTGTTTGGCATTGCCTCTCATTGCCTGGCATTGCATGCTGTTGCTTGTCATTGTTCGGGCTTGTTGCGTGGCATTGCTCTGCATTGGCTTGGCACTGCTTCGTGTTGCTAGGAGCTCTGGCTTGGCATTGGTTAGCAGTGCTTGGCGTGTTTCTCACCATTGTCTGGATTAGTTCCTTGGAATCGTTGCGCGGCACTGCCTGGTATGACTTGGCATTTATTGGCATTGCCTGGCATTGCTTGAAAACCTTTTTTGGCAGTGTTTGTCATTGCGCGGCCTTGCTTGCCGTGCCTCCTGAGGTCGTCGCAGGCCGACGAGGCTCCTTCACAGGTTCCTACGGACGAAACTCAAGGAGGTCATTGCCGCACTATCGTGAGGCACACATTTTGGCGCATGACCCCAGAAGAGCACCAACTTCGTCACCACCCCATGAGAGCACCAACTGTTGCTCCCTTTTCCAATCCCCCCCCCAAGCAGCTTCCGTCCCATCCATTTTGAGGGATGCTGGAGGGGATCGTGCGGGCATAACGAGGGGGGGTGGGGGGGCAACGCGTGCAGAGGCGGAGGAGGAGGAGGAGGAATAATAATAATAATATTATTATTAATGATAGCAAGAAGCATACGAATGTTAATAGTAAAAAGAAGAAGAGGAGGAGGAGGAGAAAGTTCGGTGGACCTGTTTGCAGCTCCCCCCCCCCCAACCACCGATCCCGCAGACCCTGACGGGCCCGGGTGTGCCTTGGCCCGGGTCAATATATAAGCCCGAGCCATCCCGGGAAGAGGTGGTACCGGGTCTTGCCAGAAGTGCCCCTGGCCCCTCCCCAGACCCCTGGCGTCGTGGAAAAAAATCACGACCCGAGGTTTTTCTCTGTTTCTGGCCACTTGGGGCCCTGACCAGGCCCCGGGGCCGTCAACATCCAGGATGAGAAACCGGTCCCGCGAAAGTGGTCCAGACATCCGGGGGTCGTCGTTGTGAAAAGATCACGACGTCTGGGATCTGGGTCTCGAAAGGTTGTTTATAATATGGGTTTCCACATCGGGGGGGAACAGGGGGGCGGGGGGAACAGGGGGGCAGCCAGGGGCCAGGGGCTGTGTGGTGTATGCCTTTGTGTCGGGTGTTGCTAGAATTGCCCCCTGGCCCAAAGTTGCCCCCACGTCCTGCAGAGCACCCCTCACGAGGCCCAGGGGGCCCCCCAGGAGCTCCAGGAAATGCAGCGAAGAGCAGGGGACACCTTGGGCGAGGGGCACTTTGAGCACCCCCCCAAGGCAGGACAGAGGAGGGTCCAGGATGGTGACGGGGACCAGCCCAGGCATGATCGCGCCGTACCAGAAATCACGGCGGGAGGTCTCTGGCAATGTTCGGCCTCCTTGGGCACTCGCCGGGCCTCGGGCCCGTCAGAACACGACTCAGGATGAAGATGCCGGTCCCGGGGACTGGGTCGGCACCTCTCGGGACCCCGTACAGCGGGACCGAGGTATAAGATCGAGGTCGGTTCGGGGCGAGGGTATCCTCATGCTCTTGGTGTTTGTTGGGTGCTCTTGTGCATCCTTGGGAAGGGTTCCCTCGAAGATTCCTCTCTCCTCGGCTTGGCCGGCGGAGGGCCTCATGCTCTTGAAGGGTGGCACTCTGCAATGGGCCCTCGCTGGGCCCCGGGGTCACCAAAAAAAACGATTCGGGATGAGACACCGGTCCTGGGGAAGGGGTCCAGACCTCTGGGGGCCGACGTTGCGACAAAAAAAAAAATCACGACGTCGGGGGTCTGGGGTTGCTCCTCCTCGCGTCGCCCCTCCGTCTGTTTCCCTCGACTGCGCGGGAGCCCCCTCGGCTACACCGCGGTCTACACCGCGCCTTCTCCCTCACACCCCGCTCGGCTGTGCCGGAGGGGAGAGGGCGAGTAGTGGAGGGGCGCGCGACGGCCGTATCCACTGGAGGGAACTTGAGGCCCGCAGTTCGAAGGAGGCGGCAGAGGAGGAGGAGGCGGAGGCGGAGGAGGAGGAGGAGGCGGAGGATGAGGAGGCGGAGGAGGCTGAGGAGGCGAAGGAACAGGAGGAGGAGGAGGAGGAAGAACAAGAGGATGGGGAGGAGGAGGAGGAGGAGGAGGAGGAGGAGAAAGAGGAGGAAGAGGAAGAGGAAGAGGGACGAGGAGATGGATGAGGAGGCGGATGAGGAGGAGGAGCAGGAGCAGGAGGAGGAGGAGGAGGAGGAGGAGGAGGAGCAGGATGAGGAGGAGAAGGAGGAGGAAGAGGAGGAGGAGGGAAGATGACAAGGAGGAGGAGGAGGAGGTGGAGGAGGAGGAGGAGAAGGAGCAGCAGGAGGAGGAGCAGGAGGATGAGGTTGAGGAGGAGGAGAAGGCGGGAAGAGGACAAGGATGATGATGATGATGATGATGACGATGATGATGATGATGCTGATGATGATGATGATGATGATGATGATGATGATGATGATGATGATGATGATGATGATGATGATGATGATGATGATGATGATGATGATGATGATGATGATGATGATGATGATGATGATGATGATGATGATGATGATGATGATGATGATGATGATGATGATGATGATGATGATGATGATGATGATGATGATGATGATGAGGAAGAGGAGGATCAGGAGGATCAGGAGGAGGGGCTTGGGGACCGAGAGTTCACTCCCCCCTCCGCGTCGCGCGGAGGCGCTGCTAGCCCACCCGACGCCCGCGCGCGCTGGCCTCGACGCGGTCGAGCGCGTGAGGAGCGACGGCGGCGCAGTGGACCGCATCAGGAGCCGCTGCCCAGAGGCTCGAGTGGGGGATCGTCTACAGAAGGAGGAGGAGCAGGACGAGGAGGAGGAGGTGGAGGATGAGGAGGAGGAGGAGGAGCAGGACGAGGAGGAGGAGGAGGAGGAGGAGGAGGAGGAGGAGGAGGAGCAGCAGCAGCAGCAGCAGCAGGAGGAGGAGGAGGAGGAGGAGGAGGAGTGCGCGCGAAGTTGATGTCCCGTCGATCTCTACGGAACATACCTGGAGTGTTCCGTAGATTTGGTTTCCGCTTATTTCTCATGTATGGGTTCGACGAGCAAATCCATCTTGAGGCAAGCCAGTTCGATCCCCTACTCGAGTCCCGAATCTCCGGCGATTTGGTCTTGTGCGGTCCCCGTGCGTGTCCTTCGACCTAGGCTTCCTGCAGGCCGGGGGTGTGACCGAAATGGCGTGTGAAGAAGCAAGACACCCGACGTCGTGTTTTTTCACAGCGCCGCGTGATGCGAACGTTCGCGCAGTGCGTGCTGTCGAAAGCAGCACGGATTCCTGTACGTGCACGTCTTCCTTTCGCTCCCGATTCGCCTCCGCCGTGCTGGTCCGGTCCGGGACCCAGACCCCCGACTTCATGATTTTTTCGCAACGTGGGCCCCCAGAGTTCTGGACCCTTTCCCTGGGACCAGCTTTTCATCCTGAGTCGTTTTCTGGCGGTCTTGGGGCCCCGGTGAGGTGCCCCTGTGGCGAAGAGCTTCCTGTCTTGATTTTTGTTTGCATCGTGAGGGGTCTTGGAAGTGAGCCCTCAAGGGGCCTTTCAGGGCCCATTTCTCCACCCCTCCTCTTTAGGCTACAGTCGAGACTGATTAGTGGTTCGACCCTGCTACATCAAAGATACCTTTGTGTCCTGAGCTTCGCGACCCATGCCTTCTTACATTCCTATGGCAATGTGGCCCTCGGAAGGGTCTTGTGTCCTCTCGCGTGTCCTCTCCAATCAACCCCGACTGTACCCACCCAGACATGCGACGTGCGGATTTTCCAGGAAGGCGTCCCTGGAAGTCCCGACCCTCATCCTGGGGACCGGCTTTTCGTCCTGAGTCGTTCTTTGATGGTCCCGAGGCTGGCGAGGGCCCCCCCCGGGGCCGAAAATGGCTCAAAAGTTTCCCGTCCTGATTTTTTTCGCGACGCGATCATGTCTGGGCCTTCCCCATGGCGAACCACCACCCGCGGCGATGGCGAGGCCTCCGACCAAACGACCGAGAACTCACACAGAACACAACGTTGGAGGCACAGGCCTCCTCCGGACCACCCCCCAGGTCCGCGAGGGGCCCACCGCGAGGGGCCCTCCCGTCCTGATTTTTGTACGACGCGATGATGTCTGTGCCCACGCCTGTTATACCACCTGCCCGAGCAGGGGGCCGGCGGTGGCGGACCTATAGAGGGTGGTCCGGAGGAGGCCTGTGCCTCCAGCGCCGTGCTTTGCGTGAGCTCTCGGTCGTTTGGTCCGAGGCCTCGCCATCGCCGCGGGCAGTGATTCGCCATGGGGGAGGCCCAGACATGATCGCGTCGTGAACAAAAACAGGACGGGACAACTTTTGGGCCATTTTCGGCCCTGGGGGGGGCCCTCGCCGGGCCTCGGGGCCGCCAAGCAACGACCCAGGACGGGCCGGGACTTCCAGGGACGATGTCCTGAAAATAAGAGTCGGGACGCCGCGCGTCTGGGGACGGGTCCCGAGGAAAACACGGGCCCTCGGGTCTGCTTCGTCGGCGGCCTCTCGGGGCCGTCCACACGGGCCGCGGGGCTGCCGGAGCACGGAGGAGGGAGCGCCCTCCGCGAGGGCCTGCCGTCCACACGGGCCTGCCGGGAGGAAGGAGCGCCCTCCGCGAGGGAAGGCCCCCCCCCGGGATCCAGGGCCCGCTTCCCCCGGGACACCGAGTTCTCGGACGTGTGCAGTTTTTCCTTCGGCGAGGGCCATCGAGGAGCATCCTTGATCATTTGGCGAAAAAGCCACGCACGAAGCCGAAAAAAAAACACAGGACATGGACGTCCGAGCGATGGCCAGGGTAATTATGTCAAGGCGGCCTTCTTTTTAGGGGGCCAAAAAGTGGCATAAACATAACAACTCGGAGGTCCGCGCGGATTTCTCGGAGATCCGCGGGATCCGTGCTATGCTGTTCTCTGCTGCGGAGCGCGGGCCCCGCCCGGGCCGAGATTGCCGGGCGCACGGGCTGCGGGAGCGTGCTGGTGTGCACCGAAGTCGGGCGTGAGCCTCTGCAGGAGGAGTACAGTGAGCGGCGTGAGTCACGAACACTTGCTCTTGTAAAGGGGCTCGGTCGTTCCCTGGGCCTGCATGCGTTATCCACTGTTCCGTAGGCGTGTTCCATTGTTCATCGTTCCGTATGCATTGTTCCTTGGACAACAAAGGGCTGCGTTCCTTATTTCTCGTTCCTTAGGTCAGGCCGATGGCTGTACTCCCAAATAGTAGAATTAATACTCTGGTGACGATTCTTCGAGCATTTGCTTGTTTCTGTTCGAGTCTTATGTTGGGACCAGTTTTAAGCTGCTCGTCGAAATCCGCCTGTAGTGGGACATCCCCGGCCTGAGTGTACACAGGGGTGCGCACGACCCCCGGAGGTCTGGGATCTCCTCTTCCGGCCATGACCTCGAGAGCTCTGGCCCTGCCCTCCCGCCGTGCTGCTCGCAGGCGGCAGCTCTCTCGCACGCAGACTTCGCAGAGGTGGCGGCCGCGAAGCGACGCCTGGTGCGTGGACCCCTCGTTCGCTCTGCCGATCGGCACCCTGACGGGGTTTACTTCTGGGTTCGTGTTCGTTTTTTTTGTTCCTTGTTTTGCCAATCGGCGCGGGCCCTCGCGCCCCCCCTCCCCCTCCCATGGCATAGAGCAGATCTTGGCTGTGTTTGGCGCCTGTTTCACGCAGGTGGAGGCTCCCCCATAGGACGCACTGCTGCAAACAGTCGCACGAAGCAGAGGTCCGGAGCCAGACCCCCCCCCCTCCCCCCTTTCCGCCCAATGTCGAAACGCCGAATAAGAAAACGCTCACTTTCGAGGGGTCGTTGAGGTTGCACGCCCAAGCCCGCCGATCGGCCCTGCAGATGCAAGGCGGCCGACGACAGAGCAGACTCTCTCGCTTAATACTGTAGTCTGGATCGTCCTTGCCCTGGCGCCGTTCCTTTTCATCATCCTCCGCCTCCTCCTCCTCCTGCCTCTCGTGATCCTCTTCCCCACCTCCCACGATGGCCCCCCCCTGCTCCTCTCATGCTCCGTCCCTCCCTCCCCCCCCCCTCCCTACCCATCCTCCCTCCCCCTTCCCCCCTCCCTCCTTCTCTCGCCTCCACCTCCTCCCTCCCTCCCTTCCTCTCCTCTTCGCTCTCCAACCCCCCACGACTGGTCTGGGGGAGGCCGCCTTCTAACCAGCGCCAGACTCCACGTGCGCCGGCAGTGCGCACATAATGAACTGAGTCGTCTGGCTGCGTGTGACGCCAGATCCACGACCCAGTCATGTGCCAAGACTCAAGTCGGGCATGTCCATCCACAGGAAGAGAATTCACAAATAGTCAAGGCAATCATACCAAGAGTATGTTTCGAATATGTCTCATTGTTCTTTCGAGATCAGCCTGTAGGAGGACATGCCCGACCTAAGCTTATACCGATACGCCGGCGCGCGCCCCCCTCCCACCGTCTTCTCCCCCGTCTTCCCTCGTCTTCTCTCGTCCAGCCTCCGCTCCTCCTCCTCCTCCTCCTCCTCCTCCCTCCCTGCCCCGAGGAGGGTCCGGAGAGACTGCTCGCATCGGCCGGCCTCAGACCTCTCCCGTGGCCAGCAGTCGTTTCAAGGTCACCGCTGGAGCATCCTCCGCACCTCGTCTTTTCTACCCTCTCTCCCTCCCTCCCTCCCTCCCTCCCTCCCGTCCTCTCTCCCCCCCAGCGGCGAATTCCGGCGCGGGGGGGAGCTAGTACCTCGTAGAGCTCTTCGGCATCGATGAGCTAGAGGAATTCCGGCGCGGGGTGGAGCTAGTTGGCCCACCCGGCCCGGGCGGAGAATGTGGTGACCTGGGGTCGGCTCTTCTTTCGAGATTGTGAGAGATTAGACCGTTCATTTTGGAAACCCCGATTCTTATTCTCTGTAGTGGACTATGGCGCGTTCAGTGGTGAAAGTCTCAGGGCTGTCCGCCCGAGCGCCCGAGCACGTTGATTCGGAGCCGGTGCAACCCGCCAACCCCAGGACCAGCGCACCGCTCAGCGCAGTGGCTGGCCCCTGAGCGGAGGAGCGGAGGGCCTTGCGCCGGCCAAGGCCCACGCATCCCGCCACTCGGCACCGCCGCGGCGCATGCGACCCAGACCCCCGACGTAATGATTTTTTCATTACGTCGACCCCCAGAGGTCTCGACCCATTCCCAATACCGGTTTTTCATCCTGAGTCGTTTTTGGACGCTCCCGAGGCCCGGTGAGGGCCCCCAGAGGCCGAAAATACCGAAAAACCTCCCGTCGTGATTTTTGTCACGACGCCAGGAGGTCTGGGGACGAGACTTGGGCCTACACAGACTCCGCTGCTCCCTATCCCTCGCTCTGGACCGCCCTGCCCGGGCCCCCGACGTCCGCAGGTCTTGCCCCCCTTGCCGGGCGCCGGCTCCTCGCCCCCGGGCCGGCTCCTCTCACGGCCCCCTCGCGAGGCTGGGCGCAGGGCCCCCCCGCGGGGGGGCGGCAGCGGCCCGAGGCCTCCTCGTCGTCCGTGCGAGCGCGAGTGCGCGGTGGTGTGTGTGTGTGTGTCTACAGTCGAGGCGTTGACCTAAGGAACCCTAAATAAGGAACGAGGCATTGCAAAAAAATGTTTCACAAAAAGAAGGATTGCAAACAAAACCGAAGGATTGCAAAAAACCAAGGATTGCAAAAAAAACCGAAGGATTGCAAAAACAAATAACCAAGGATTGCAAAAAAACCAAGGATTGCAAAAAAGGGTTTGTTTTGCAATCCTTCGTTCTTTTGCAATCCTTCGTTTTTTTGCAATCCTTCGTTCAAGGGTTTTTTTGCAATCCTTTTTTCCATGAGTTCAACTGCGATTTCCGATCGAAAACAGAAGGAACACCTGAGGCAAGCTGTGAAACACCTAAGGAACGCGGAGCCCCTCCCCATCCAAAAGGGTTCCTCCTTCAGGGCCCCGACTGTACTACGCGAGGAGCTTTGGAATGAGGAGGGTTAGCATAGCCATGGATGTTCGCCACCGGCCTCGAACTGATCCCTGTCCCTGAGACTGACACGCCAAAAGGCGATGACAATCTTAGGGATGCACCCTCAGAAACTGAGGGAATCCCTGAGGTCGGCACCGTGATGAGGCGATGCCCAGCACAGTGGTAGGGACATGTTCAGGCGATCGCAAGCATGGATCAAGGGGGCGTGGATTAGCGGCTGGTCCCGCTTCCATGGGAAATCGCAGAGTTCCGCCGCCGAGCGAGGCGGCACCGGCCGCATTTTGGGGAGGGCACCTCCCCCGATCCGTGGATTTGGCCACCACGCGCCAAATCCATAGATCTCAGAGCGTGAATTACCTACCCCGCTTTCGCTTCCAGGCAAAACCAAGTCATACCACGCGCCTCCTCGTCAAGCGGCCTGACCAGTACAGGCCGTAGTTTGGCATCGCTTGGTATCTCTTGGAAGCGAGGGTGGTCAAAAGCGTGGTAGGTTGGTTTGCCCCTTAAGATCGCAAATTCATGTTTGCACGCCCCCGATCTGCTCCAGGCTGGGATGTTCGGCGGAGGTTCTGGACCCGCGATCCTCCCGCCGTCGCCCGCGTCGCGCTCCGAGCTCTGCGCGGCCAGCCACGGCAGCCGCGCGGAGCTCTGACAAGTTTACGGGTGTTCTTGCTGATGGTTTCTGTTTCTTCTTATTTATCTGTTACCATCATCAGTATTATTATTATTATTACTACTATTATTATTCGTAGTATTCGTATTCTTATTATTGTGAGTATTGTTACCATCATTAGTCTTATTGATATTTTCATTAACATTGTTCTTAACATTAGTATTATTATTAGCATTATTATTCGTATTATTATTATTATTATCTGTATTATTATTGTGATTCGTCGTCTTAACTATGATTCTCATTATTGTTAGCATTTGTTTGTTGGTGTTCTTCTTACTCTTCTGGTGTCTGGGTGCCTCCCTTTCTCGCTCTGCCTCTCTCCCTCCTCGTCCTGCTCCCTCGTGCTCCCCCCGCCACTCGTCTCTCCCGCGAGCCCCCCACCCCCGCCCCTCTCACCCCGCCAAGGAGCCAGGAGGTCCCGATTCCCGACATCGTCACCTCCACGTTCGAGGGGAGGCAGCTCAAGAAGGCCGCCGGCTCGCCCGGACCGTGCCTCTAAGGGGAGGAGGAGGAGGAGGAGGAGGAGGAGGAGGAGGAGGAGGAGGAGGTGGAGGAGGAGGAGGAGGAGGAGGAGGAGGAGGAGGTGGAGGAGGAGGACGAGGAGGAGGGAGGATTGAGGAGGGGGGTCAGGGGAGGAGGAGGAGGAGGAGGAGGAGGAGGAGGAGGGAGGAGGAGGAGGAGGGAGGAGGACGAGGAGGGGGAGGAGGAGGAGGAGGAGGAGGAGGAGGAGGAGGAGGAGGAGGAGGAGGAGGAGGAGGATCAGGAGGAGGAGGAGGAGGAGGGGGATCAGGGGCAGGATGGGATCAGGGGCAGGAGGGGATCAGGGGTGAGGAGGAGGGGGGGGAGGAGGAGGAGGAGGGGGAGGAGGAGAGGCCGGGGGATTGTGGAGCCCCTCGTCGTTTTGATCCGGTTTTTATTGAATGGGACGCTCTTTCATCTTTATAAACTTTGATGCTGTTTGCCATTTGTCTGCTTGCCGTGATCCCCTCATAATATGCTTCTCTCGTTATATCGTTATATCGTGTTCTCTCTCTCTCTCTCTCTTTGTCTCTCTGTGTCTATCTCCTGCACCATGCCAATGCATGCCGATGCGATACCAATCCATTGCCAACCAATGCCAATGCAATGTGAATGGCGGAATCCCTTCGCCCGGTGGATTTCATTCTGAATCCTTTGTGGACGGTGTCATTACGAATCCTTCTTCGAAGGATTTCAGTAGGAAGGCCTCTGTGGAGGGTTTCGATAGGGATCCTCCTGTGGAGAGTTTCACTAGGAACCCTTTTTGTGGGGGGGGGTCAGTAGGAGTGCTTCTGCGGAGGGAGACATAGGACTCGCCAGCGCAATGCCAACGCAATGCCAAAGCACTTTCATCGCAATGCCCAACCAATGCCAAGGCGATCGCAATCCACTGCCAATGCAATGCCAATGGGGAGGGGGGCCTTTGTGGTAGATGTTAAAAGGGAACCTACTCCTGGAGGGTTTTAAGAGGAACCGCTGTGCGAAAGGAGGCACAAGGACGCGCTAGCGCAATGCCAAAGCAATGCCCAATCCAATGCCAATGGGGGAATCCTTTCGCTCGGTGGATTTCAATCAGAATCCTTTGTGGACGGTGTCATTACGAATCCTTCTTCGGAGGATTTCAATAGGAAAGCTTCTGTGGAGGGTTTCGATAGGGATCCTCCTGTGAAGGGGTTCAGTAAGAGTCCTTCTCTGCGGCGGGAGCCATAGGACACGCCAGCGCAATGCCAACGCAATGCCGAAGCAGTGCCATCGCAATGCCAAACCAATGCCGAGGCGGTCCCAATCCAATGTCAATGCAATGCCAAGGAGGGGGAACCCTGTGTTACACATTCCACAAGGAATCTTACCTGTGGAGGGTTTCACCCGGAATCGTTCTGCGAAGGGGGTCGTGAGGACTCGCCAGCGCAATGCCAGCGCAGTGCCAGCGCAATGCCAGCGCAGTGCCAGCGCAGTGCCACGGAGGGGCCCGTCGAGCCAGCTGCGGCCCTCCCCCGCCGTGCCTCGTGCTCTCTGGGGCTCCCGGGGGCTTCTGGTTTCGACGGCTGGATCTAAGTCGCGCCCGTCCCTCTACAGGGGGGATATTCAAAAATGATCAAAGATAGTTTTTTGGTGGACGATTTTTTGCAATGTTTGAATAGTTGTTGCATCTTTTCCTGCCTAGTTTTTCATTTTTCATCCAAAATCTGCCTGGAGGGGGACATGCCCGACCGAAGGCTTGATCCGCCTCGAAAAACTGGTCAGGTTGAACCCTGGGAGGGGCGCGGGGACCGATCTTGAGCGCGGGGCCGCCGCCGTTGTTTCAGCGGGAGGAGAGTGATGCGTTCCGATGCTGCGCCTGATCCACCCGGAGATGCCCGTCTTCCTTCTTCCTTCTCTTCTCTTCTCTTCTCTTCTCTTCTCTTCTCCTCTCCTTCTCTTCTCTTTCCTTCTCTCTTTCCTTCTTGCTTCTCTTCTCTTCTCTTCCCCCCTCCTTGTCAATGCCATGCTGCGCTCGACGTGTGCATGAGGCCGTGCAGGCCGCAGGGGATGTCACACACCGTCGTGGGCCACGCTCCCGGGTCTCGTATCCGTTCGTGGGCTCGCCGCTGGTGGGTGGTTGGCCAGTGTGTGGCTCGTGTCTGATTGTTGCGTCCTCCTCCCCCCCCTCCTCCCCCTCCTCCTCCTCATCCTCCTCCCCTCCTCCCCTCTCCTCCTCTCCCCCCCCTCCTCCCCTCCTTCCTCCTCCTCCTCCTCTCCCCCTCCTCCTCCTCCTCCTCTCCTCCTCTCTCCTCCTCCTCTCCTCCTCTCCTCCTCTCCCTCCTCTCCTCCTCCTCCCCCTCCCCTCCTCCTCCCTCCTCCTCCTCCTCCTCCTCCTCCTCCTCCTCCTCCTCCTCCTTGCCGTCTTCCTTTTTCCTCCCCGGGATCGGCAGCTCGACAGATCTGGGCCGCACTGCTTGCACGGGTTGGCGAGCGAGCCGGAGCAGTGGTGGTCAGTCAAGTAATTGGTGATGAGGCCAGATACCCTGTTTAACCCTGTTTGGGTGGCAGCGGGCAGGAACCGCACACGATGCATCCTTCAGTCACAATTTCCACTGGTGCAGCTTGCATGGTTACGCTAGGCCGTTTCTCTTTGAGCTGCGCTGTTCAGGGCACTGGCGGTGGTCGCTGCCAGTTGCGATCGCTGTCCAGAGCCATGCTTTCGTCAAGAAGCGTGATCCTCAGCATCATCACCCCTTTACCTAGACCATGCCAGTCCGAGGCGTGCTCCTCTTCCTCCTCCTCCTCCTCCTCCTTTTCCTCCTCCTCTCCCTCTTGCCAGCATGTACTGCCTGGCGTACTCTGGCGACTCAGCCTTGATGCGTTTTTTTTGTGAGGTGGCTGCGTCGACAGAGCTCTCAATCCGAAAACACCGCTCTTCTCTCTCCCCCCCTCGTGCCTTCCCCTGATGCTGCCCGGTGCGGGTGCGGCCTCCTCCGCGCGTCTTCTCCCACGCGCTCGATCGCAGGGCTTGTCCCCAGCCAGTGCTTTCGCGTTGGTCAAGCAGTGGCGAAGCGTCCTGGCTCGCCTATAGCCCTACCAAACAATGTTCTAAGAACCTTCGGTGGTTTCCACGAAATGCTCTTCGAACATTTCTGGCGGAGTCTGTCTTGTTTTTTCTCGCATCGGGCTCATGTTCTGAGAACACCGCATCCGTTCTTAGCACATCTCTGGGTTCTGAGAACATGTCGTGGCAGGACTACAGCAATGCCGGGACGGTCGGTCCCTGCTCAAGTTGGGGCTCCCACCAGCCATGGGTGATATGCGCTTAAGTTTCTCTGGCGCAGGTCTACTTGATACAGTGCCGGACATCATCGTTTAAAGACGCGGTTCAAGATTCGACTAAGGCAGCGCGTTCGAATGCCCTGCCCCCCCCCAAAAAAAAAAAGTTGGGGCTCCCACCTGGTGTTCCTCGGCAGCTCGGTGGGTCAGCCGAGGTGTCGCCCGGTGGCCGCCCGTGGGCGCCGCGCGGGGCGCCTCGCGGGGCGCCTCGCGGGCGCTGGGTGGGCCGGCCGAGGGTTCCGCCCTGGCGCCTCGCGGGCGCCGGGTGGGGGCGCGTGGGGGCGCTGCGGGTTTCGCCTGCTTCTTGCAGAGGAGGAGGAGGAGGAGGAGGAGGAGGAGGAGGAGGAGGAGGAGGAGGGGGAGGAGGAGGAGGAGGAGGAGGAGCGAGGGGGAGGAGGAGGAGGAGCGAGGAGTGAGGAGCTGAGGAGCGGGCGGAGGTCAGGACGTCACGGGCCACAAAACGGCCGGGTGCGGCAAGATGGCACCAGCGAAGTGAGTCACCACAGGGCCCCCCTCCCCAGAATTTTGCACCGCACAGCGTGCACCTCACAGCACCGCACAGATCGGGTTCTCTCTCTCTCTCTCTCCGAAAGCAGAGTAGGCTTGGGGCAAGGTAAGACTCGAGGACGCCGGGGCTCGGGTCCGCCGAAGGAGTGTTTTTGTTGACGAGCGCCTCCTGGATCTTGACGGTCCAGTATCCGTTGGACGTTTGCAGCGGGAGCTCGCGTCAGATATCAGATTGGGCCTCGTCATTTTCATAATGGTTCCGTCAGGCCAGCCCGAGCCCCCCCGTACCCGAGTCTCACGTTTCCCTAGTAGGCTTTGCCACCCTCCCCCCCCCCCGATGTATTCCTCCCCTCATTGGGGCACTGCTCACCGCATGTGAGCCTGCCTCGCCGTTCGTGCTCCGTGCGGACGCAGGCCATCCCAGGCGGGCAGGCAGGCAGGCCGTCGCCCCCGCCGCCCACCCCCCCCCACCCTCCTTGTCAAATCACACGATGCACGCTCACCTGTTGATCGCAAGCCTTTTTAATCCGTTTCGGCAAAGGGAGCGCAAAGTCCACACGCGCGCACATGGCGAACTCTCAGCAGACGCACCGATTGTGCAAGGATTTCCACGCACGAATTGTGTGTAAGGACTGGATGCAGGCGGATCTGCGTTTCCAGCGCTCGGGTTCGAGCGTTCTGCTTCTGAGCCTTAGTGACTGCGGACGGAGGCCAGGCACTCTCAGAAGACGATCTACCGTCTCACACTCATCCTTGCCTGGGCTCGCGTCCATGCGTGAAAATACACAAGTGGATCCTGCCACCAGGTCCAGGCCCAACTGGCCAAAACAACAATTATTGCGGGAGTGCCCAACTTGGGAGCATCTGCGAAGAGTTGCAAGACCACGTGTATCAAGCTGGGGACGCAAGCCGAAACCGATGTGTTAACCGAAAGTAGTCGTTTTCCCCGTAGCCGCCATAGCTCGATTCGAATTGATCGCCACATGTAATGCTCGCCATACCCAACATGAGAAGAGTATTCTTCATCATTGGCCCTGGAAGAGGTTTCGGCAGTACGTCCGCCTTCTGTTGATACGACCGCACACGTTGAAGCTATACCAAGCCCGAGGATGCTCCCTGCCTCATCGCCCCCGCCTTGATCAT